AGGATGGCCAGCAAGGCCAGCAAGCCATGTCCTTGGCCATCCTCCGAGTCATCCGCTTGGTGCGGGTCTTCAGGATCTTCAAGCTCTCCCGGCACTCCAAGGGGCTGCAGATCCTCGGGCAGACTCTCAAGGCCAGCATGCGGGAGCTGGGCCTCTTGATATTCTTCCTCTTCATCGGCGTCATCCTCTTCTCCAGCGCCGTCTACTTCGCCGAGGCCGATGAGAGCGAGTCCCAGTTCCCGAGCATCCCCGACGCCTTCTGGTGGGCCGTGGTTTCCATGACGACTGTTGGCTACGGAGACATGGTCCCCACCACCATCGGGGGGAAAATAGTGGGTTCCTTGTGTGCCATAGCTGGCGTATTAACGATTGCCTTACCAGTGCCCGTCATAGTGTCTAACTTCAACTACTTCTACCACCGGGAGACGGAGGGAGAGGAGCAGGCTCAATATCTGCAAGTAACCAGCTGCCCAAAGATCCCCTCTTCCCCTGACCTAAAGAAAAGCAGAAGTGCCTCTACGATTAGTAAGTCCGATTACATGGAGATTCAGGAAGGCGTAAACAATAGCAATGAGGATTTCAGGGAGGAGAACTTGAAGACAGCCAATTGCACCCTTGCTAACACAAACTATGTGAATATCACCAAAATGCTAACCGATGTCTAACCGCTAAAAAAAAAAAAAAAAAAAAAATCTAGTGGTGTATTTAAAAAGCTGAAGTGGAACAATTGCAGATATTGAGTGCTGCTCTGCATTGTAGTTAACACAGTATTTTCTACGGTGTACATTTGGTTCTGCATGGGAAGCAATAGCTGTGTAAGTGACTTTTAACCTTCGATTTCCACACCGAATAAGCATCCGTGCAAAACAAACAAACAGACAGACAGACAGAGAGACAAACAAACACCCCCAACAAACCATTTCCTTGCCCTTCTCCCATCCCAGGCTCGTGGGTTTTCCGAGGGTTTGGGAGGGATTTGGAGCAGCAGGATGGGGGATACGAGGGGCAGCTCCAGGCTGTGCCGGCTCCCTGTCCTGGGTGACAACCCACCTTCCAGGGAAGGGCTGGGAAAGGTCAGGCAGAACTTAACGAGGGGGACGATCTGGGCGAGCGTCCGAATTGCTGGAAGGCTCCGGTTCCCACCCTGGGAATGCCAAGCCCGGCCGCGTCGCCCGGGCTCGTGTTTCATAACTGAAAATGCTGCATGCTGCAATAGTTTCAGCCACTGCAGTGTGCCAGTGTGAGGCCCAGGGGAGGGATAATTAGTGTGACAGCACATTATTTATTAAGTCTTAAATTTTCTATTGCCAGGCATCGGGAGGGCCGGGTAAATAAATCAAGCGCTTGGATTTTAGGATTTCTTTAGATAACACTTCCATCCCCGGTGTTTCCAGGCTCACCAAAGACATCTCCACTAATCTGTTGAAAATGAGTTGGGAAAAGCATCTTTTTTTTACATCTATATATAAAACTGGAGCAACTATGCTGTGGCCTATAATATATTTATACTGCAGTGAAATTTAACCAGTAATACAGTACAGCTGCATGGATATCTGTTGCATGAATCTGAATATTTAATACACACACAAATATATATTTTCTTAGTAGACTATACAATATTCATGTTTATAGTGTTTATAGATTCTCCGGTGGCTCGAAGGAGATTCATGGGAGTTGAAAAAAAATCTCAGCTGCAGTTAAAAACAGGATGGGGAAGGCGCATGCTGACAACAGTTGGATAAGATAACGAGGCAAAGCCCGAGTGTCCGAGCATTCAGACACGAGAGCCAGCTAGAGCCAGGGAAGGTGAGCTGAAAGTTAAACACCTGCACTCGTTATGGGGCGAGTAATTAGTCATTAATCATGGTGTCGGGAGCAGAAAAAGCAGGGCGGATCAGAGAGGGCACAGGGAGCAGGTGGGATTGCAGGTTCTGGCTCTCCTGGCTTGTTTGGTCAGCAGTTTTCAGCTGTTCCCGTCTAATTCTTGGTGTGTGTGTGTGTATGTAGATATTTAGAGAGCGACTACAGGGCCGGATCCTCAGCAGACAGAGCTCTTGGGGCATTGGGGATTTCCTGATTTAGGGGTGCTGGGATGGTGGGACAGGGGCTGGAGAAGGATGACCTGCCCCGTGGAGCCCACAGGATCACCGGGGCGGGGCGTGTTTTGGGCTGGAAAACTCCTTATCAACCACACAGAGCCCCAGGGCTGGGGGTTTATTTCTTTATGATGGAAAAGGCACGTGCTGAGGGTGGGCTGGATCTGAGCTGCTGCCTCTCAGCCCTTGCTTTGCCTCCTTCCAGGGTTTTTAGAGCGGTGAGTTGGGGTGCAGAGAGCCTGAGGATGTCCCCGCTTCTTCACCCCTGCTGGTGTTTGGGGATGGGATCTGTTGGTTCAGGGGGAATCTCATCTGCTTTCCCCACTCCCATCTGGATTTCCTTGTTTCTCCCCCATTTCTGACAATCCCCAGGGAAATCCTGTTCCTCTGATGGGTCAGGGGAGAGGGATGAGAATCCCTGCCAAGGTTGTGGTGCATCAAAGCCTCCCTGGGCTGCAGAACAAGGTTGAGTTGGGGTGAATTGGGGCTGAATTGGGGCACAGTCAGTGCTGCACCACATGAAGTGTGGGCACCAGGAGGGAACCCTCCGGCAGAGAATGTGGGGGAGGTCAGAGACCCTTCCTGAGCTCAGAGAGGAAAACCCAACTGAATAACAATAAACCAACTGGTGCTAACATGTTCCAACAGCAATGGTTCCAAATGATGCTCTGGGGCCGGATCCATCTCAGGCTGATGTGGCTTCACTCGGCCAGGTGGAAACACTCCTCAGTTTTGTTGGATTGGTTGATTGATTGATTGATTGATTGATTCTGGCCTGGCTATAATCAATACACTGGTTTGTGCATGGGAGTCCTGCCTTCTGCTTGGGGCAAAGGACCAGCAGCATCCAGGACCAACAGCAGCCTGTCTTTAATCCCATTCTATTGGGAGCCTTCTGCTCCCGCTTTCCTGCAGCAGCTCAGGAATGGGAGCTTCTGCAGCCCACTCACCCACGCACAGAAAAAAGCCAACACAACCCAAAGCAATAAATTTTGACTCCTGAAGCTCGTCCTGTCGGATGGGGCAGGGCTGGCAGGAGCTGCCAGCTTGGCCACGACTCCCAGGGCAGTCGGCCAGCTTCCATTGATCCGGCTGGCCGTGGGTTCCTGGAGACAGGAGCGTGGAGACAAGCACAGGGAAAGCTGCTGGATGTGCTGGGAATGCTGCTCGCCCACCCCTGGGTGCCTCCACACCAGGTGATCCCATTCCTGGTCAAGATTGAGGGAAAGTTGCTGCAGGCTGTGGGTTTTTTTGGGCGGGGAATTCTGTCGGTCGGTGAGACTTTGTGACGTGCCTGGCCGTGGGCTTGGGATGGGTTGGGATGGTTGGCCAAAGCCTTGAGTTGTGGTGTGGTTTGGTGAGGAAGAAGGCTGTGTTTTCCTCTGGGGAGGTGGTGTTTTGGGAATAGAGTTCTTGTGGGATTTCCAAGGCCAGGCAGGAGGGGGAGAGCGGATCCACGAGCAGGATCAGCCACATCCAAACCTACTCACCAAGCCTGTGGAAGCCCCAGAGGGGCACTGCAGGGAATAAATGGGGCCAAAGGAGGAGAGGCCACTCTCCTTTTGTCACCAATGTGAGCTGACATCTGTCCCCATGGCCAGTCCCTTCCTGGGGACAGATCCTGCACCCCTGGCACTGGGGAAAACCAGCCTTGGTGGGGGATTGGACCCGCTCTGCACTCGTTTGGGAAACAGGGCAAAGAGCCAGATCAGTGCTCAGATGTTTGTTCAGGGTGGGAAAGGTCGGGGCCGTGGCTGGAAGGGATCTGTCTGTCTGCACGAAGCAGAGGGGTCCAGACTTCTGCCTTGCACGGAGAAATGGTTCTCCTACAGCTTTTAATGGGATTTGTGCCTGCGGTCGGAGCTCCAGTGCTATTTCTAGCTTTACTTCTGACTCACTGATGTGATCTTGAACCAGTTTTTCAGGAGGAGAATGTGATATTTTTTTGCCTTTTTCTTGTTTTATTTTTTTCCTCCAGGAATTTGTTTTCGGAGGCTCTGGGCCTGTTTCTGTGGAGATGCTGAGCATCCCAACCTCCTCTTGACTCTGAAAGGGTGCAAAAAATGAGCTGCAAAACGGCTCAGTCTGAGGATACGAAATCAGGGAGCGGGGAGAGGGAAGTGGAGGAGTCCCAACATCCATGTCTGATCGCATGAGGCCACTTAACAGAGGTGGTCTGGTTCCTTTCCTCCTCCTGGGGAGAAAATCGCCTCTCTCCAGGGTTGGGATGGAGGACTGGAGCCCTCTGGTCTGCAGAGGTGCTCCTGGAGGAGACAGCACGTCTCGTTTAGATTATCCTTTGTGCCCCAGTTTTGGAGAGCTGGAAAGCTGGGAAAGCTTTGGAGAGGTGGAAAGGTGGAAAGCAGAAAGAGTTTTGGAGAGATAGAAAGATGGCAAGCAGTGTGTGTTGTCTTCTACACCCAGCCTCATGGCCAAACCCTCAAGCAACCCATCAACCCCTTTAATATCTTCCAAAATCTCTGTTAAGAGCAATGGGTGAGGCTCCAATACCAGCTGGAATCTTACCACAAGATCAGGTAAAAATTATCCGTGTGGGGCACTGTGTTTTATTGGGAAAAATTAAGCTCTGCAGAGAAATTTTGTGTCCAAATCCTCCAGATTTGAATAGTGAGCTATAAGAAGAAGAGGATCTCTCGATTAGCGTGATGGGAGCGTGGCACGTGGGTGTATAAATATGGGCATATTTGTGCATAAATACACAGAAGGAGAGAAAAAGACAGAGGAGGAGGAGGAGGTATTTCAGGAAGGGCCTGGCTTTGTTATCAGATTAATTCCTGGGTCAGCCCTTGAAATCGCTGCCAAAGGCTTGTAGCTTTTCCAGAGCTTGCAAAAGGCTTGGGGACGGGTCCGAGGGAAGGAGAGCTGGATCTGGCTTTGGAAGCAGGAGTTTAGCAGGATGTTGGGGGCATTCATCTCCTTGGAACCCTCTGCAAGCAAGCAGAGTCTCTGCTCCCGATCCTGAATCCTCATCTTGGGCCCATCGTGACCTTTTCTGTGACTGTGCAGGGAAAGCCAAGGAAAAGTTGAGGGGATCTGGTGGTGACACAAGTGCTGTGCTGCACCAGGT